CGTCAAGGAATTCAAGAAAAACTGGAGATAGGTTCATTAGGAGAAAGACAAGACGAGTTCTAACAACAGCTGACAGTTGTCGAATTCGCTCACGCGACCTTGCCGTGAAAGATGACTTAAAAAGTGTTGGTGTTGGCAAGTGAAATTTTCATAGAGAAAGGCCAAGCGATCATTCAATCAAAGAGGAAATACAGGGAAATTAAGACAGATCTCTCATGAGCTGCCTTCATCGTAAACTCCGCCTTATATTGAGTCAAACTCGGTACGTTCAGCAGTCACCAACTTAAACGTTGTATCACAACGCTTTCCAAGGGGGCGCCAGGTAATACTCCGTTTCAAACGCGAAAACGCGTTTCAAGCGCTTCAGCTACAATTATGGAAGCTTTCTGGACCTAACTGCCCACCTAAATAACCAGCTATAAGAAAGAAGCAAAGCATTATGAGCCTCTGCAGAAACAGAGGAAGGAGAAACTTGGAGGGGGGGGGGGCAAAATATGTCTTTTGTCATGGCCTCCAACCTTCACTCATCAAAAAAAAATTACAAATGCACTTCTAGGTTTCGTAAGGTATCTGCATTCGCTCAACGTTATGAAGCGGCAATTTTTCCTATGTTCATGAGGCAATCATGCATGCGACCCAGACCCATCAATTTCACAATTTTTGAAAGAAGTACTTCTGGGAACAATTTTTTAAGAATAAAAACGATGTAAACATACTTGATAGACAGCTGACGTCAGCGCCATCTCGGCGACCTTCAGGTTCGTTTCCAACTTATCGATCACATCATTTCTTTCACGAACGCATGTCTCAAGTTGTCGAATTAATTCTTCTCTGGCTTGGAATTCAACAACTGAAATTTGTCCTTAATACGAGCTCATAAACAAGAACCAAAACAGATTTCCGGGCAGTCAAATGAAATAAACAAAAAAGGAATGTAATGAAACGTTCTGACGAGCAGTTCCTCTCGTCGGTCGCTCGCAATACTTTCAGGAAAGTGACTGGGAAATCACGAAGGCCGTTCCGTGACGCAGCGATGAAGTCATGCATGTTTTTGGCCTCACGTACAGCTGTTGACATTTCCAACAGCATTTAGAAAAACAAGAATATCGCAAAAATCACGCATTGTCTTTACTCCCCACGTGCGCTCTGTGGGCATTCTATGTAGCTGGATGACTGAAAGAGCTCAAAAGCAGTAGAACCATTGCAAGGATCAGGTGAGGAGAAAGGACTTCATTACATGAGAATGTTTGCTATTCAGCCACAAGGAGACCAACAATTAACAAAACTAGATCGCTAGTTGTGTGAGTTTTTTGCAGCTACAAAGCTAGATGAATATAAGGTAAAATCAAAAAAGTGGCAGAGGACTACGCTGCAGCAAAAACGTCCACAGTCTAACTCATCCGAGGAATAAAAATGTGATGAAAATTAACGAAAAAATCAAACATCGATGTCATCAACTTTTAGAATATACCTTTCCTCTGATACCGATGCAACCACCAAGTACCCAGCGGACAATTAAATTAGACTTAAAAAAGAAAACAAGGCGAATTTTCAGTTCATCCAAACCTATAGTTTCTTGAATTTCTTTTTATTCTGGGAAGTAAACTAATGCAGCAATTCGGGAAAAGGAAGAGTAGCAAAACTAAATCCACGCTCAAGAAAAAAATTATTTCGCTTCACCCTATCTACAGACGCACTAATTCTGACCAGAAAAGTCCTACGCTGCAGAAAAAAGTTAAAAACATGGCGCGAAAATGAAAGAATTTGTGGGCCATGGCAATCTATCAGGCAGAAAACACTCAAACGCTTTCTAACGCGCGTCAGATCGTGATAAAAGAAAACACTTTACTTACCCCGTCGGCGGAAGCCTTTCGTCACTAGTAGTGTAAATACAAAGTACGCTCGTTCTGCACTGCATCTAACCCTACTGGCGTTCCAGGACAGTACATGGACTTCATTTACACTCAAGAGAACCTGCAAAATCGTAATCTTCCAGAAGCTGATGATTGCGTACACGCCTTTCGCTGATGTAATATAAACTAGCTATCAATTTAACATACCAAATTTACAAAAAGATGGGAACACACAAAT